CATTTCTTGTGCAGATTTATGTTCATACAAATTTGAAAATAGTAAAAATTCATCTACAAAGTTTTCCTCTAAATCGGATGAGTAAATTTTCACCAAATTTTGCGCTTTTAGTTTAATCTCAGATTCTGACAAATTTTTGTGAACAAGAAAACCGAAATTATCGTACAAATCACTGTAAGCTTTACGCCTTTTAGTCATTTCTGAAATTAATACATCTAAAATGGCGTAATACGTTTCCATACGAAGAAAATTTCAGCATATATTTTGAAAAGAGGGAAGGAGGGAAGGGCCCATAAACGGCTGTGCCTAGGGCCTACGAAAGGTATAATTCGGCTCTGGCACTATTGAATGCACTTATAGTACAATGCGACGCATGAAAACATGGAATCCGTACTACAATGTCTCACGAGAGATTAAGCAGTTTGCGCATGTTCAGTGTGCATAAGAAAAGAATCAAAGATGACTCAGAATTCTATGAAAATGTTATAAACAGATTTGGACAGCTAACAAGACTATTACAATTCTTGTTTGATTAAACAATTTTTAATTGTTATGTATCAATAATTGCTTAACTATTTGCTTTTGAATAAAAATATTTTTAATAAAAAATTTTTATACTCTTTAATTGTTTAAAAAAAGCCAGGGGGTGCAAGTGCACCCCCTTGCACCCCGCTGCCGGCGCCCTTGCCTGTGACGTAGGCTATGTTATACCCAATTCTTAAATATCTTGCGGTGTTTTTTCTTTTTCTTCAGAGATTCATAAGGAGTGCATTGAGCCCGCGAGTGATAAGTGATTTATCCTTATTCTTATGGCCCAAGAGATAACTGGCTCTTACACCATGTAATCTATTCTCATTGACTTACATTATAGGCACTAATTAAGCAAGTCATGTCAAAAACATAAGAAAGCAATCATCATTATCACTGGTGTGACAAGCAGACATGTGTGAGCCTTAGCCTTCTTGAAGAGGATTCTCTTTCATCCTGACTTGTTCCCAGCAACAAATTAGAAGATTAGAACACAATTACACAATGGTGGATATGTATCTATATATATACTCACTTAAGCAACAAAGCATTCGTAACAATGAAATTTTATAACAATCAATGAACGTTTTTTGTGATTGCTCTTTAATAGCATGAGAACAGCAATGTTCATTGTTTCAATGGTTAGTAAGTAAAGCAAAATTTCGATAAATAAATTATCAGACATCCTTTTTTCAGTAGATTGTATAGCATGAGACAAAAATAAATATGCCAAATTTTTACGAGATCCTCCGAGTGCTGGAAGACGCGTCTGCGGACGAGATTGCCAATGCGGCACAAAACCTGATCAACGATTGGAACCCAAGCTTTGTGAAGGACAGCAAAAATAGAGACGTGATGTCCGATGTCCAGAAGGACATTATACACATGAGGGACACTCTCACAAATCCAGATAAGAGACGAGAATATGATACTTCATTGCAGGAAACTAGACTAAAATCGGTAAACGATGACTCAGAAGACGAATCAGTGTATGAAGATGCCTTAGAGTACATGACCGACGATGAATCGGATGGGTTGTATAATTCATTTAGTCAGCAGTACTCGGATACATTTGTATCAACTTCAGTTTTGGATCTGCAGAAGAATGTGGAAGATAAGCGTCAAGAGGGTGCCGCCTCCCTCAAAGTTGAGCTTCGACCGGCCTCCGAAGAAGATTGTGAACCAAAATATTACACAGCGAATACCAGAGATGTCACTATTAGTTCTATAAAACCTGATTCTACCTCTTCCATTCCTGTATTGGAAACAGCACGTCAAGATTTCGGCAAGTCAAAATCTGGTTCAATCCGTAAAGAATTTGATGAATCAGTATCTCAGTCAACGCATAAAAGTTTTGACAGTCCAACATTGGAGTCTACGCGTAAAGATTTTGACAGTCCCAAGCCTAAATCGGAGTCTGCAAGCAAAGTTATTGACAGTCTCTCTCCTTCCTCTGAGTCAACGCGTAAAGATTTTGACAGTTCAATATCTGAATCAACAGTTAAATATTTTGACAGTCCTCCTTCAGAGTCAACACGCAAAGATTTTGACATCTTACCAGGTACGCCAGAATCAACTAGCGAAAAAGCATTTGAAACAAAACTCACTGTTACAAAGCAGCAGCAGCAACAGCCCAATGCAATGACACACACTATTAATCCTGAAGAAGAAACAGTTCAAAAGAAGCTAAATGGGTATATTTGAATAATTATTAGTCCTTTTTCTTACTCTCAATCAAAGGGTTCATTGCGAAAAAAATTTAAAAAATCCCATTTTTAATTTTTTTATCATCCTCAAACATTTAAGAAATTGACAGAATTTTATTCTATAAGTGAATGCTCCTTCAAAGAAGAACAAAAAATGACACTACGCATTTATAATAACTGTCTATGACATTTCTTTAAATCTGATGTGGTAGTTAAAACAAAAAATTATCCTTTTTACTTCGCTTATTTTTTTCCATTTTTCTTTCTTATGGCTCGTCATGATTTTGAAAAGAATCCCTTCAATCATGTTTATAGTGAAATCATTTGATGCGAAAATGATGTTTCATCATGCGTACTGTTTACTTTCAAAACGACAAAAGATACAGTTAGGTATTCTCATATTCTTTACTTTTAAAATAAATAAATAAATAAAAGTAGCTTAAGAAACTGATTTAAAAAGGAGTTGATTGTGATGTTTGACTGATACAAGAAGGATACAATAATCATTCGAAATAATAAAAAGAAACTTAGAAAAATGCATTGAAATCTCTACGAAAGACCACCTCTGTTGTATTCTATTTACGACCACTTATGGGAGGGCACGGAATTTTTTCCATAGACTTTGTGTTGAAGAAAATCTTTAAGAGAGACCATCAGAACATCTCCGAGCGGACAGGCTGCAAATCCCCGCACCTAATTCAGAAATCAAATAAGAAATCACGAAAAAATAGAAGAATAGGAATTATTAACAAAATAAATAAGTCGATTGAAATGTAACGAAAATATTTGTGAGTGGCTCTTATTTAGAAGGCTCTTTTTGATTTTTTTCTGAAAAAGATTTACAACCTCATGTTACAGTTACAATACTCTAAAGACGATGATTTAGTTTTAGAGTTAAAAGTTAAATTCGAAAAAAAAAGTTTTTTTAGAAAAAACTAAGCATTTCAAGCAAGCAAACCTCATCTCATTTTTTAAAGCTAACTAATTTCTAGGATATAAAATTAGAGGCAAACAAAAAAAAAACATAATTGTTTATTTATTTAAATAGTTCTATAATTCAGAATTAGTACATTTGTTCTTAGACACAATTGGGGGTCATTTTTATTGACGCTAAATTTTATTCATCGAATTGGTTTCATGGCGCCAACACAAGTGGAATTTCCGCACCAAGAAAATTACAATGAGTCATTTAAAATCGCTACACCATAATATACACCTTAAAAAAGATTTATCGATTTTTCACTTTTTCTCCCACACAAAAAATAGGCTTTAAGATTGTGATTAATAATAACTTCATCAAATGTGATAAGAAATGAGTATTAACGAACTGGTATTCTCTTCATTGGTGTTTTCTAAAGGCTAATAAGCATTGCCCGGTATACGCCAAAAAAAGTTGAACTATAATACTTGAGTGAAATAAATCAATCAATTATATGTAATATTTTTATTCCTAACGGACGATTCGCATTCTTATTGTTTGATGTCTGTAACTGATTGATCATTGATGGATTGCTAATGGACAGGTAAGTGAAGTGACGTCAGCTCTATACAGATTGACAGCAAATATTCTGGACATTCAACAAAGTTACAACGCGAATATTGTCGCGCATTGTCGACATTCACTCATTTCGATCTTCACAATAACATATTATTAATTAACACGTTAAGTACTACGTCAGTTATCGGTGACTGACACTGAACTTTCCGTTAAGAACCATCAGTCGCCATTGACAGACAGTGTAAAATATTATACGAAACTAAAAAAATTATAATGCTTAATATAGTAACTGAAAGTGTATTTAAAATTTACTTAATTTGTTTTAATACAGATCAAATTTCTGCTTATTTCAATCTGTTAGAAGCACTCCTCGCATTTCTATACTACAATAGGAGGCCTTCCAAGCAGCGCGCCCAATCTGACGGTTCCCTTAAATACCCGTGGTGCTCAACGTGTTGATAGTATATTATATATATAATATATATTATATATAATAGTATATTTTATATAATAGTATATGTATATAGTATTCTTGATATCTTTCAAAAAGGGATGAAAATTTATTGAAAATGCATAAACCTTCACATCAACCAGAAAGTCTTGTGGAGGACTCAGTAGATTCTGAACCTAAGATCGAACCATTGAAAGCTAAAACTGTTTGCAGCTACTGTGACGATAACAATAAAGTGGACCTATGTGTCGAGGTGGTGAAAAATCCCGTGAAAGAGGACTACGATGGACGACGCGACCTCTTAAGGAGTATAAAGGTACCCACAACTCGTCTTAGTGTGACAGCAACCATTGATATTAATGGTACGAAGATTACCACTACTCATAACTGTAGCCACAATCATTGTTAGAGACTCTCGGCCATTATCGCAAGCTGTTGTGGAAAATACTCAGGTCTGAATAAGAAATTGGGATAGCAAACTTTATTCTTTTTTACAGTTGTTATCATAAAATCTAAATCACCTCGTTATTTGAAATATGATTTATTAATCTTATCCTTAGTCAACATCCGAGATGTTCCGTATAGACCACCATTTATATGCACTTGTAGAATTTTTGTGAAAAATGAAGCCAAAATCATTGCGCATAAAATACCAGTGATAACTATACTTTGTTGCAAGTGATGAAAAAAAACATTATCCCTATGGAGAGAAGCCTGTTCTCATCTAATTGCACGCTAAGCTCCAAGCGCGAACAAATATCAATATCGCCATCTCTTGATACGACGGAGCATGGCCTTCTTTGTACTTATAAAAAAAAATCGCACGAATTAAACTTCGGTCCAACGAGTTTAAAGATTGAAAGTTTTAATATTGTTTAGAAAACATATTGAAGCTATATAAAACGGAACTTTATGCAGCTGCGGATGATTACTTAAATCCTATACAGCAATGGTCCTTACTTAACTTGCAATGGAGTATAGGGTTTCAAATTTGTCGTAGGAGAAAAGAACCAAAAACCAGGAAAGATTGATGAAAATTTTATATCCAGGAATATTCACCTCATTGACTAAAATGGCTACTATACCTGTTCAAAATATAACAATGACCGGTTATTTTCCATTTTAAAAAACTCAATTTCAGAAAACAAATTAAAGGCCTCACCCTCGTATATGTGCAGCGCAAAAAAGTCGTATTCTTAAAATTCAATTTCAGGGAATTCAGGGACAAATCGACTGATTACGCTCGAATTTTGTGTTTGGCCTAGTAAAATTACATTTTTTTAAAAATTATGTAAAAATTTGTGCACCTTACAATTCAAAAATTTTTCGACTGTTATTAAATAAAATAATAACTATTTACTAAAACTTATTTTTTTTTTTATGGAATTATCTTTAGCTAAACAAACTTTATAATTGAATGCAAAAATTGTTCTATTCGCTTAAAAAGTTTTTGAGCTATGGCAAAAAGTAAAATGAACTTTAAGGGGTCCTAACTTTGAGCCGTTCTCCTGAAAAAACTATTGGGCCCTATTTTCCAGATTGCGGTTACCCCTACACTTGAAGGATAATGAAAACAAATCCATCTAAAAACAGGTATGTTCATTCTGAGAAAGACTTTTTGTTTCCGATTTAGTAACTTTAACTATCGTCTGCAGTAATTGATTGGCATATTTGAGGTCACTTCCAGAAACAATTGAGATAGAGTTATAGTAGTGAAGATCAAATCATTTGATCAAAAGTTATTCAGAGTGATTTTTTTTATTCATTTAATTTCTTTCTCACTGTAATTAACAAGATTCCATTTTCTGAGGAGGATGTTTGGCCGAAAAAACTAGGAAAATGGGCATATAGTTGAAGTGATAAAAGAAGAATGAAATGTTTTCTTTGTTTTTACCTAATCTATATGTTTTGTATTTTATCAATGAAAGTTAATAATCAATTTATTAATGCGTAATATATTTAAATTATTGCGAAAATAACTATTCGTTCAAAGAAATTTTTGGAATATTTTAGCGTTAAACATTCATGAAAATTAAAACTAAAATGATCAATTCTAAAATCCTTACCCTAGAATGAATTTCTGCGAGCCCCAGCCACTGGTTTCTTTAGTTACGCAGCTCTATATGGGTCGCATTCAAAACTTCTAACTAGGGGAGATCATTTTTCACATTAATTTGCACATTGTGAGGTTACGATGAAAGAAAGGTTCCATTCCCACAGATCACTTTTGTAATCTTTGATTGTTTTCGCCCTCACTATAAATGCTTAGATTCTTTTCAAAAAAAGAAGTTGAAAAAGCATACATATTTTTAACAATGCTCGCTGTCACGGTTTACTTTTTTAGGCATTTCTTAATGTCAATTTGTTATTATTTTATTACGTTAAAAATATTCCATCTTAGAACTCAGTATTATTAATTTTTTTTACCAAAATTTCCTTTTATTCAATTCAATTCTTAGTAAATTTATTTATGAAACATATTTTAGGGGAGGAGACAAAGAGAAAAAAGCTTACCTCTTTTTTCTTTTCTTTCTGTGACTCTTGAAAAATTCCCTTTCGAATTTTCCACCGGATGTTCATTTTAAGTGGTTCAAAAATAAAAACGAAATATAAACGAATAAGGAAGGCAATTATAAAAATGCCAAAACCATTTTGATTGCCTCGTGAAACTTGTAGAAGTCTTTAGTAATAGCCTTACGAAAAAAACTTTAACGTTTTTAGTCTCAGTGGGGATTCTACAGAGCTTTTTCATTGGAAGAAATTCGGAAATCAAGACAAAATATTATAAAAACCAATCTCTAAAAAAAAAGTGGGAAAAAAGACTATTATCTGGCAAGATGTTCAACTTTAGGTTTGACAAAACCAAATCATTTTTTCCACTTCTATTACACTTCAAGAATAAATGATGTTATTATTTTCACCCCTTTGTAGATTATATAAAGTAGTGAAAGGGGTATAAAATAGACCGGAAACTAATTCGCGATCGCAACGAACTATAGGGGGCGTTGTTGTATGAGAAAAATACCTGCGATTTCTATATGAGCAGTCA